AAAATATTTGCAAATGATGTGACAAACAAGGGCTTCATTTCCAAAATATACATACAGCTCAATATCAAAAAAACAAACAACCCAATCAAACACTGGACAGAAGACCCAAACAGACATTTCTGCAAAGACATACAGATGGCCAACAGGCACATGAAATGATGCTCAACATCACTAATTATTAGAGAAATGAAAATCAAAACTACAATGAGGTATCACCTCACACCAGTCAGAATGGCCATCATCAAAAAGTCTACAAAGAATAAATGCTGGCAAGGATATAGAGAAAAGGGAACCCTCCTGCACTGTTGGTGCAGCCACTATGGAGAACAGTATGAAGGTTCCTTAAAAAACTAAAAACAGGGGCTTCCCTGGTGGCGCAGTGGTTGAGAGTCCGCCTGCCGATGTAGGGCACGCGGGTTTGTGCCCCGGTCCGGGAGGATCCCGCATGCCGCAGGGTGGCTGGGCCTGTGAGCCGTGGCCGCTGGGCCTGCGCGTCCGGAGCCTGTGCTCCACGGCGGGAGAGGCCGCAGCGGTGAGAGGCCCGCGGACCGCAAAAAAAAAAAAAAAACAAAAAACTAAAAACAGGAACTTCCCTGGTGGTCCAGTGGTAAAGAATCTGCCTTACAATGCAGGGGACGCGGGTTTGATCCCTAGTTGGAGAACTAGGATCCCACATGCCGCAAGGCAACTAAGCCTGCACGCCACAACTACTGAGCTCGTGCACCTCAACGAGAGAGCCCACATGCTGCAAACTACAGAGCCCACACACTCTAGAGCCCGTGTGCCACAACTACAGAGCCCATGCACCCTGTAGCCTGCACACAACTAGAGAAAACCCGCACACCAACTAGAGAGAAGTCCACGTACCACGACAAAAGATCCTGTATGCTTCAATGAAGATCCCGCGTGCCGCAACGAAGACCCGATAAATACATAAATAAAAAATAAATCTTGGGCTTCCCTGGTGGCGCAGTGGTTGAGAGTCCGCCTGCTGATGCAGGGGACATGGGTTCGTGCCCTGGTCCGCGAAGATCCCACATGCCCGCGGAGCGGCTGGGCCTGTGAGCCATGGCCGCTGAGCCTGCATGTACGGAGCCTGTGCTCCACAACGGGAGAGGCCACAACATTGAGAGGCCTGCGTACCGCAAATACATCTTAAAAAAAAAGAAAAAAACCTTAAAAACAGAGTCACCGTGTGATCCAGCAATCCCACTCCTGCGCATATATCCAGAAAAAATGAAAATTCTAATGCAAAAAGATACGTGTGCCCCGATATTCATTCATAGCAGCACTATTTACAACAGCCAAGACATGGAAGCAACCTAAGTATGGCCATCAAAAGATGAATGGATAAAGAAGATGTGGTACACATTTACAACGGAATATTACTCAGCCACAAAAAAAGAACAAAATCCCATTTGCAGCAACACAGATGGACCTAGAGATTATCACACTAAGTGAAGTAAGTCAGAAAAAGACAATATCATGACCTATCATATCACTTACATGTGGAATCTAAAAAAAAGATAAAAATGAACTTATTTACAAAACAGAAACGGACTCACAGACAAAGAAAACAAACTTACAGTTACCAAAGGGGAAAGGGTGGAGGATAAATTAGGAGTTCGGGATTAACAGATATACACTACTATATAGAAAACAGATAAACAATAAGGAACTACTGTATAAGCAAAGGGAATTATAGTCAATATCTTGTAATAACCTATAATGGAAAAGAATCTGAAAAAGAAAATATATATATATATATATATATAAAATATATATATCACTAAATATCACTGAATCACTTTACTATCCACCTGAAACTAACACAACATTTTAAATCAACTATACTTCAAAAAAACAAAACAAAACTGCAAGACCTAAATTCCTTTCCACTCAAAAAAATCTTAAACCACACATTTTGACGGTTCAACTAAAGGAATAAATGTCTATTAATTTTTTAATTAAATAGTGAGACCACTAAATCTATTAAAATGACCAAAATTTAAAAAACACCGACAGCACCTAATTCAGGTGAGTACACAGAGCAACAGGAACTTTCATTCATTGATGACAAATGCAAAATGGTACAGCCACTCTGGTAGACAGTTTTGCAGTTTCTTATAAAACTAAACATACTTTTACTATATGATCCAGCAATAACACTTCTTGGTATTTACACAAAGGAGTTGAAAACTGACGTCCACACAAAAACCTGCACACAGTACACAATATGTTGATTTTTATTTTTTTGAGGTATAGTTAGTTGATACAGGAGCTTTATTCTGAATTGCCAAAACTTTATTCAAATTACTCCAGAATATAATTGCCAAAACTATTCAACACTGCGATGAAGATGTCCTTCAGTAGGTAAATGAATAAATAAACTGTGGTACACCCAAACAATGGAATAGTATTCAGCATTAAAATGAAATGAGCTACCAAGTCATGAGAAGATATGGAACAAACTTAAATCTGTATTACTCAATGAAAGAAGCCCATCTGAAAAGGCTACATTCTGTATGATTCCAATTATATGACACTCTGGAAAAGGCAAAACTATAGAGACAGTAAAAAGATCAGTGGTTGTCAGGGGCTGAGGGGAGGGAGGAATGAATCGGTGCAGCACAGAGGATTTTTAGAGCAGTGAAACTACTATGTACAATACTACAATGGTGGATACACTTCATGTTTGTCCAAACTACAGAATGTGTAACACCAAGAATGAACCTTAATGTAAACTATGGACTCTGAGCAATAATGATGTGTCAATGTAGGTTCATCATTTGTAACAAATGTACCACTGTGCTGTGGGATGTTGATAATGGGGGAGGCTATGCATACAGGGACAGTGCATTTATGGGAAATCTCTGTACCTTCTGCTCAGTTTTGCTGTGAACCTAAAGCTGCTCTAAAAAATAAAGTCTATCCAAGAAAAAACAAAAACTATTGTACTGAGGATGTCATTTTCAGTAAAGTGCTTTATAAAATAATATCCCCATGGTATCCAACAAGGATCATGACTATCTTCATCTGTGTGTGAGGAGAGAGGGAAGACAGAGATGGGAAACTGCCCCCAAGAGGCCATCCCACAAGGGAAGCACTGGCACAGGATGCCTCTGGGTCAAGAAGTAAGCCCTGCAGAAGGCTCTGCTCTGATCCCACAGTGACCGCTAACCCCAAATACATACAAGTCTCCTCTCCTCACTCTGCTCAGAAACCCATTTCTTGGGATTATGAATTATCTCTGAGCTCTAATAAAATGCATACTTAGCCAGTTAGAACACTCTACCAGAGACAGTGGCGATCAAGAGAGTATACACAGAGGACTGTAAGGTGAGTCTGTTTTAGCTTGTTGACTCCAGGTGACAGGGTTTACTCAAGGATTCAATTTAGAGGAGAAAGTAGAGGTTCATAACCTATAAAGCCCAATAGTGGAACACATACCTAAATCTCAAACTGGCAAAACAAATCACCCTTGCTTAGTCAGTACTAAGTCCTGTCCGAAAAAAACATGAGTCACTGGCCCATAGTATTAGACTTGCACACAAAAAATACTTTTAAAATTACCACTTTCAAAAATTTTGCCCTTAAAAATTATTTTAAGTCTTAAGCACAAGCTGCTGGGGAAGAATGCTAACAGAAAGCTATTCCATTAGCCCTAACCATTGAGCATGATTTACCAAAGAATAGGGGAGAGGTGAGGATGAGAGAGCAATGGCAGGGCAAAAAGAAGAAAGTGTGCTTCCTCTTGTCCTATGATGGCCCCTGCCCTCACTCAGGGCACTTCTGTGCCCTTTAAGAGGATATAGAGCACCAAGACCAAGCAACACCACAGTGGAAGAAAAAACAGAAATGAATCCAAGATCTGGAAAAAAGATATTTTATCTGCTTTATTATCTACAACAAAAATGTAAAAACCTAGTCATTCATTTCCAACTTTATAATACTCAGCAATAAACATTTCTCAGATGTGTCTAGAGAATCAGGCCAAGAGAGTGTATGCTTAGAAAAAGAATGTGGTGTGAGCCTAGTAGACAGGAAAGATCTGCTGAAACTCAGAAGTTTAAGAACTCTTCATAACTGACATTAACTGACACACCACACAGACAAGCACCTAGCATAACGTGACCATAAATTAAAATCCCCTATAAAAAAGGAAAAGCTGGGGCTTCCCTGGTGGCGCAGTGGTTGAGAGTCCACCTGCCAATGCAGGGGACGCAGGTTGGTGCCCCGGTCCGGGAAGATCCCACATGTCGTGGAGGGGCTGGGCCCGTGAGCCATGGCCGCTGACCCTGCGCGTCCGGAGCCTGTGCTCCACAACAGGAGAGGCCACAACAGTGAGAGGCCCGCATACCGCAAAAAAAATAAATAAATAAAAAAAAAAGGAAAAGCTAAGATTCTGAGACATGATACCATCTACCCAGATTTTATACATGTTTCATTTCTCAAAAGCATCAGTATCTTCTCTTTCCC